GAGCTGGATATTTATTACATAGCAACATAGACCAAATTTTATTATATTAACTAGCGATTGTCTAGTGAGCATTCTGGTTTAGACAGCACCCAATGTTTCAGCTGACCTTTAACTGATCAGCTATAGAATTCTTCGCTCTAGAAGCAAATGTTCTTCTATATCTTTAAAAATTATTGTTCATGTGTGAGCTAAAGGACAGCACCTCGACAGAATCCTGATGAGTTTTGGACCTGAAATAAGCCTGAATGCAAAGGAAAATTGGCCCATACTTAATACACAGTTGTAGCTATGGAAAGAGCTGAATTCAAGTCCTACACTGTTTTGTGGCACAGTACTTGCCAGTTCTAGAAAGTTACTTTAGGAGTTCACCAGCAGATTAACTCTTACATTAATCAAGATTAAAAGAGTTGCTTACTAGCAGTGTTGCAAGATGTATCAAAAGGCGAGTAACCCATTTGGCTGGTATACCAGACCAGGCTGCCAGGAGTTAATAGACATGATAATAACCCACACACAGTTCGGTAGTCCCCACGCTGTGCTGCCTACCACCACCTGCCAAACCATACCCTGCAAGTACAGAAGATCATATGGAAAAATTTCATTTTACATAAGCTGAATTGTATTTTCTCTTTCTTCCGGTACTTGTGACATCTTGATCTTCAGACATCAAGAATTTACAATGGGACATACAATAGTGCTTTATGAAAATGTCAAAAAAAATCCTAGCTGAATGTTTTCTTTACTATCTGCCTTTAAATCTTAAGCAATAAGTTTCAGAGTAACCAAGATAAAAAAGACCTTACTTTCCACCAAAATTTACTACACAAGAGCCATCTCAAGATGCTGATCTGAAAGAGCCAGTATGTCCTATCTTTCCCTCTTGCACTTTATGAAGCCAAGTAATTAGGCAGAAATATTTCCTCGGGGACCCCTCTGTGCTGATGCCACTTTCAAGAGAGAGGTACCTTTTATACACTTGTTCCTTTCTTGTTATCAAAATGTCTGCCCTGAATTTGCTCTGCTGTTGGAATTCTCACTGCATTGGGCAACACAAATGGACATTGCAAAATCTTCTTTGTCACTGCCATTTTTTCTGTGTTACCTCCATATCCACACCAGTTAGCTATGGAGTACAGGCTGTTTCAAGGATTCTTCTTAACAGAAGCATGCGTATGTATAAATATAGCCAGATATTAAACTTCTTGGAAGCTCTCAAACAGGTGAACTCTGTAAATCTTTTTTCATTAACATAGTCCCATAGGAGTCAGCAAGGGTGTTTTATAGTACTGGTGTATCCACATGCATCTAGAAAGGGGTGTATCTGCTCTCTATGCTGTGAAACCAAATGAACAGGTAAAAAATTATAATTTATCTTGGTTTTAATATAAACTATCATTACAGTTTCATTAAAGGGCTTGAACTTCTAGCTGTAGAGTTTTCAGCGTTTACTATATGCTCACGGATGGAAAAGCTGTTTATTATTGTTATTCGTATTAAAGCAATATTTACTGACTGGCCTAATTATGCAAATGCCTAGCAGGAGAGAGTTTCTACCTGCAAATCTTACAGTACAAACTAAATACGAGTGGGAGCAAAAAGGAAAAGGAAAGCAAATGGACAAAGTGCTAGAACTGGAGCTCTCTGATTATCAACCAAGCTCTGCATGTTCTAGCCCCACTGAACCTGTTATAATGTGATACTGTCTAGCAGAAGTTTCCCAGACAGAACTGTACATCTGGAAAGAGCAGCAAATGCTTCTAAATAAGGATCCTGATTGCCTATAGGTCTTAGAACTCTCTTTTAAGTGATGTCAAGGAGTTGAACTTCCTCCTGATGACTGTGATAGGACAAAACTGTGTTTCATATACATTTGGATTATCTGGAGGTTAGGAAACACGGTAATATGGTTAGACGAGTAGGGCTGAATTAAGATGACTAACCTGCCTGATGAAGATGAGCAGGGTGGTGACAGAATGATGTTGCAGCAGAAGAGCCTTTCAGCTGAAATAATTTTACCTTCGCTAAATTCTCTTCCCTGATTAAAGAGATTCATGACATGATACCTCATCCCTGACCTCTGATTTTGTTTTGATCATGAGCTACTTTACCATCACAGATGCATTTTGAGACGCCTTCAAATCGTTTCAATCGAGCTCCTTTTTTCTGCCGACGTCGACTCCAGCAAGGCGTGCGCGCGCTGCTGCCAGGCCACGCTCTGCTGTCGACGGAGCAGGGCGACGACGGCGGAGTTCCTACGGCTCCCGCATCCCAGCGCCAAAGCGTGACGGCGCGGTGTCTGCCCGCAGCACCCCGGGGAGGGGGGACCCCTCCACCCCCCCCCTCCAAACCTTATGTTTCATACTAATTTATATCCGGATGGATACGAGGTTTGGCTCATGAGGAAGTTTTGAGATAGTAACACCATCACAGAAGCACTACTGAATGTCCCCCTGAGCCCACAAAAGGTAAATACATACTCAAAACTCCTATTCACAGGTAGAAATCTCTAGAGATATGTTCTGAGTAGCAGGATTTGGGCAGCTTCCATCAGATTTAAAATATTTCTCCTTTATTTCCTTTTTGAAACAGATTTATAGTAAATAATATATTCATTGAGTTTCATCTTTTCCCCATTAATCCAATCTCCTTAAATAACTTTTACATATTTGTTCTCACCATTGAGCATGCTTCTTAGAAATTCAAGATGTGCAGTAGAAAAGTTTCTACTGCCTGAGCAGATGGCCATTTCTTCTTTGATGTGTACACCTTAGGCCTTGCTTCTGTGAAGGTCCATGCATACAGTACAAGGCATTTCCCTGGAGGACCTTTGTCACTAAGTCTTAATACCACAGTGTGGGTAGAAATATAAGGAGGTTAAATTGGAAATTAAATGCTGACTAATATATGAACTGGAAATACAGCTTATATGACTGGTGCTTTCCCCCCGCAATAGATGAATTCCACTCTTAAAATTTTTAATCAATTCCTCTGGATTTTTCCCCACTTGGCTTTTCTAATGAAAAAGAAAAGTTATCCTGAACACAAATGGCCTATACTTAGACTGAAGGCAGTAAGTATCAATATCATCTATGGAGATCATCTTCTCACAAAACGACATGTAAACTCTATGTGACAAGGGATCTGATTTCATCAAGTAAAGGCAATAGAAGAAATGGCAAGTGGGAGAGAAGCAAACACACAAGTTTCTTAGGGCCTTAGACCTAATGAAGGGCAACTAATTCATGCATCTCATACTATTTGCCCTAAGACCATATTAGAACCATGCCAATGGAAGAAAGTATTGAATACGCATGTGAACACATTAAATGGGAGTAAATATCAGTTCTCTTGGTAAATAATAATGACGACAGTAAGAATAGCTAAGAAGACACAATGCAGTAAGAAATAATAAACATAATCCCTTTCATTAAAAATGTTTCACTCCATGGGGCCAGTAATCCAAGACTGTTTCCATAAGGCTCTGTTGTTTTAACAGCTGTGGCCATGGTATAAAGTTTCACATTTGGAGCTTGGGCACAATTACATTCCCCTTCAACACCTGATGAAATGGGTTCTTACTTACTAATTCATCTCAGTAATCAGCTGATCTTGAGGATGTTCACAATGCTGTGTCCAAAGAGGTGTAGAGATTATCTTGGAGTGTGCACTCAGGATGCCTTGGATTGCCTATTTATCCATCCTTAGCTCTTCATGGCAACAGACACTTTATTCTCCTGCCTGCTTCTGGTTTCCATTTAGGATTTGGTTTATGAAATTGTTTAAAGGTTTCAAAGAGGTTACAACCATCCAGTGGTAGGCACAGTTTAGAGGTTTAAATTAAAGAGACCAGCTAGAAAAGATGGAAAGGAAGAAAGATCAGGGCTAATGTGAAGGAATGACTGCAAAGTGAATTGAAGTTGAATACGGTGGATGTTAAATTTTTCGCCACAATTTTGCTTCACTTTTTGAATCAAGGGTATATTCTGGTACCTCCTTCTATGTAGGTTTAGATGAGTATCAGTATTCCCGTTTCAGAGGAAGAACAGCAAGAAACTCACTGACCAATGACTGTCAAGGCTCTTAGGATCAGACAGAAATTGTGACAGAAACAAGGACTGATCTGTTCTTCATTTCAGGCTAAGAGGCTAAGCCATGAGGACATCCTTCCATGCTTCTGTACACACACTAATTTGTCCTTCACTTGCTTCTCTCTCTGACAGTATTTTTGTAGCCAGGGTAAGGGCTTCTTTCATTTGACCTTTCATATGGTTATCTTCAACTTTTTCCCAGGTGTGGTCTCAGTAACCTTCCTCCTGTCTCTGTGTTTGGGCTGGCTTACTTCCCAACGTCCAGTCTGAATCCCTCAAGCCAGAGCTCCTGACTTGTCAACTTGATGCTTGCCAGCATGAGTTTCTTTCTACCCCCCTGTCTTTTCTGTGCACTAAAATAAGACAAACAAAATTTAAACGGACAAGACCTCTGTGAGGTTTCCCTTGCAAAACTTTCTCTGGATTAATCCCTGTGCAGCCAGGCTAATAGAAAGAGAAAGAGAATCACTGAATATGTAATGGATACCCACCTTAGAAACAGTTCAAATTGAATGTTGGCAATTCATTTTCTTTTCTTTTTGGGACAGAATTGAAAAATCAGTTTTCCCTTTAGTTTTCCATCAGTGTCACAGTCTGTTTTTCATGCATCTTCAGTGACGTGCTGCTGGGTTTTAAGCAGAGGTTTCTACCAGGTAGATTTACCCTATCATGTGACAAACTTTGTGGACCAGCCTTGTGCGGATTTGGCTGTGGTATTTATCCTCTGCTACATCTGACTCCTTGGCTGGCTGTTTCAGCACTTCATTCACCCAGGCTGTGGAAGCTGAGCAGATGAGGCGTGTGATCCAGTCTTCTTGCGTTGGCCATAACACCACGTGTCAGGTAAAGGTTTGGATGCTGGGCGAATCCTTACTGGTGCGATGTTTTCATCGTTGCCGACAGCAGGGGGATCAAACTGAAGAATGGGCTGCAGATGGCTGAAGAGAAAAAGGCTCTGGGAATTTATTACTTTGGGTTTCTTTTCACAGGGAGAATAAGAAAGAAAAGGCAGCACCGCTTGGCAAACAGTTATATTAAGCGTAGTTTGCAAGAACTGTGTATGAAAAGAAGTTGAAAGGATTTTGATTGTTCATGTAGAAAGGAGGTGAAGAAGAGGTAACGTGGTAAAAGAGAATTAAAAAGGATGTGGTTGCAAAAGGTAGCTTGGGAACATCTGTTCTGCTGCTTCTGATGGCAGAACTTGGGACTATTCATGTAAATAAAAAGTAGAAAACGGATATGCAAAATGTAATAATTTTTGTTCTGTGTGTGATTGACTGTGGAACTCACTCCACTGGAAATGTTTAAGACTTAACATTCAAATTAGAATCAGCCGCTTAGATAGATATGAAGAATAGCATTAGCAGTAAAAACTACATATAGAAAGATAATAAATGCTGCCCTTGAGTTTCTCAGCAATTATTAGGAGCAGCAAGGAATAAACCGCTTATTAGAGAGTTCTTGCATCTGAGTCAGAAACATTTCACGTCAGCTTCTGCCAGCCAGCACTCTGGACCACGGCTCTGGTCTGGGGTCACAGTTTATATTACGGCTGCTGCATAGACAGCATCACATCGATGGATTTCACTTCAGCTTCCCTGGTAATTTTGTTAAACACTTGCCAGTGACTGTGACTTGATTCTGTTCAAGAGTTATTCTTTTGAAGTGTTTTTCTACTCTCCAAAGAAATAAAATACTCCGAAGTTAATCAGGGACCTTGTGTGCTTTTTTACATGTCACAGGGTCATGTATCTTGGGCTGATGACAGGGTTGCAAATGGAGACAAAGTGGTCAGAGACTGCACTAATCCCTGGCATGAGGGATATGGAGGAGCAGCAAATAAAGCAGGGCCTATGTTAAGTGGGTGGGCAAATGCTTTTGAAAAAATCCTCTAAATAGACTAATTCC